TGGAATCTCCACGTCCTACCCCATCGGTATAAGTTTGATAAAAAATAGAAGATTTCTGGAGCGCCTGGGTGGCTCAGTCGTTAAGCGTCTGCCTTCAGCTCAGGTCATGATTCCAGGGTCCTGGAATCGAGCCCCGCATCTGGCTCCCTGCTCCACGGGGAGCCTGCTTCTCCCTCTCCCACTCCCCCCTGCTTGTGTTCCCTCTCTCGCTGTGTCTCTGTCAAAATAAATAAATAAAATTCTTTAAAAAAATACAATAAAAATTAGAAGATATTAAAGATACTGCCCCCCCACCAAAAACAGCTTCCCGTAAAAACTACATTTATTGGAAAATACGTTTCTATAACTAGCGAACCTTCACGCAATCTCTCAAGGAACACGTGGGGATTTCCTCCTTCCCCAGCTCTGAGTTCCGCTGCCTTTTCAGCCACAAGGTTCCCGTTCCCATCCACAGCTTTTCCGTCCCTCCTTGGGAGGCCAGTCAGAAGATGCAGCAGCCATGGGGGAGTGCGAAGGGCAGGAGAGCAGGTGGCCTGCAGGAGGAGGGGTTTGGCCGAGAGCCAGGAGCCCAGAGAAAGCCGACCTGCATCTAGAACCGGTCAGGGCAGCACAGGCCAGGACGGAGCCGGGAGGGGCCCAGGCCGGGCAGCCAAAGCCACAGCCCCTTCTCACGGGGTGCCACCCCCCAAGTGAACCCATCCGTGAGCACCTTGTGGAAAGGCCACGTAGGGAGCCCTGTGAATTTTCCAGTAAGCACCGCGTGACCAGGAAATTAAAAGTGCAGATTCCAATGAACAGTGATTGGACATGTAGCAAATATAATGAGCATCATCTTTCCTTGGTGGCGGTCTTTGGAATGACTGCAGGGGGGCTGCTCTGGACCTCGCTTCCCATCTGTGAGGTCACTGTGTTCCTCAGTGCTGGTGTCCGTCTTGTCGGAGGGGCCAGGGAAGGGAGCACAGTCAAATGTCTTTTTTTTTTTTTTTTTTTTTATTTCTTAATTTATTTGAGAGCGAGAGAGAGAACGTGAGCAGGGTGAGGGTCAGAGGGAGAAGCAGGCTCCCGGCTGAGTGGGGACCCCGATGCAGGGCTCGATCCCAGGACCCTGGGATCATGACCTGAGCCGGAGGCAGATGCTTCACCGACTGAGCCACCCAGGCATCATTCTTATCTCATGCCACCTTTGGCCTCTGCGCACCTGGCCTGGCTGGAGTTTCCTGTGGACTGAGGGGCACAGACGAATGGAGGGGAGGAGGATGTGTAGGACAGGGTTGATGACAAGGCCTGCCCGAGCCTCCACCCTGTCTGTCTCGGTGCCTCTAGCTTTCAGAGTTTGTTGATATTGGTTTTGTACTCCGGTCGCTCCGAAAGAAGCTTGGGAGAAGGGGAAACAGCCTCCATTTCCTCCCCTGGGAAAATGAGGACAAAAACCACCGTGTGGAGGGTGCTGAGGTGCCTCTTCGGCAGCCCTGGGAAACGGAGCTGTAAACAACCTCAAAGAACAAGGAGATTCTTGAAGTGAAATGCTTTTAACTTCCCAGAGTCAGCGTATCTCTGTGCTGAACAACTTGCACACAGCACATGGCGTGGACCTGAGTGGGACTCTGGTTCCACAGGTGACAGCCTTAAAGAGCGGGGACATTCGTAGGCAAGAGGCCCCCAGGGTGAGATTCGAAGCTGTAGAAAGGAAGACTGGCATCTGAGAAGGGAGGTTATTTTACCAGAGGAATTAACTCCGTGCCCTGGATATTGGTGCACTCATTCCTCAACCATGGCCTCCTATGGCACTTGGTTTCTTGTTACCTGTGGTCAGGGGCTTTTTAAATTTTGTGTGGTTTTCCCCGGTCTCCCCCAACCCCCACCAAGACTTCCCCTCTCTAGGAGTGACAGAATTTCCCTCTCAGAAGAGATAACTTGCTTCCATCTCCCTGCTTTTTTCCCAGAGAAGGAGCTTTGGAAATCACCAAAATGCTTGGACCCAGGGGCCTCTTCCTGGCGCTGCCCCAAATCCTCCTGTCTCAGTCACGGGGCTGCCAGGAATCAGGCCATGCATTTTTCTTTCCTACTTCTCACTCTTCATTAGAAACTTCTGGTCAATGCCGCTTGGACCTACTTGCACCTTCCTCCCTGCACTAATTCGTAGCAAAGATCTTTGAGGATCCAGACAGGGGTGCAGAGGGTGGCCTGAGGTGGAGGGGCAGCTTTCCAAAGTCTTTGTTCAAGGCCCCAACATTTCTGGTTATACAGCTGCTTCTAGGTCTTTCCAAAGAGTAATGAGCAAAAAAGCAAGTCTACAGTCAAGCCCCCTTTGGCATGTCCCCGAGGCTTGCCTCCCCTCCCCTGAGCCCACGCCTATTCCCTAAAGAGTCGATTAGCCTCGGCAGGTTGGCAACTTTGGAAGAGTGTTTCAGCACACATTCCATCAGTAAGAGGCGTCACAACCTGAACACTTCAGTGGGTTCCAAGGGACCTGCTTCCCTTTTTTTCTGTAGAAAGCAGAAGCCAGAACACTCCCCCAGGAGATTGCGCTGTTGGCCAGAAAGTAAAACGTGTTCCCATTCCTGGTTATAATTCGCTCAGCAGGAAATCACCTCACCTCCGAGCAGCAGTAATTCAGGAACCACAAAAATAAAGGCAGGTCTCATGTCCTGTGAGTTGCAGCGTGAAGTCCCTGCGCTGCCCAGCGTCAGGCCTGTTGGCTCACCACTGGCTTCTCTCCCTGGCTCACATCTCTCCAGGCTCCCTCGGATTTTCAGCATGACCACCATTTTTTCTTTCCCACTCCAAGTGAGGACCTGAAGGAACGCACGCTCACCAGGACAGGGAGAGGACTGTGTGAAGAATACCGTGTGAATTGGGAGTATGGGGCCCCTGAGCACAGATTTTGTCTGGTTCATGGCCCCCTCATGTGCCTGGGACAGCATCTCACACATATAGAGGGGCTCCTACATGTCTGTTAAATGGGGCTCTTTGGGCTGGGGCCCTCACAGAGCACATGGTCACTGAGGGGGTCTGGTCCCCTGCAGGCTTCTGTTCTCCTGAGAGTCAGGATAGAATTTGCTAGAAACAATATAGAGGCTGCGGATTCCTTCGAGGGGAGTCCAGGAGAGGAGGTCTCTTGGGCAGCTGTGAGGGGCAGGGGCAATGGAGGGCAGGCTTCTCTGACAAGGACTGAAGAGGTGATTTTGGTACTGGGCGTGCCATGTAAGTGAGCTCCTTATTCCCTTTCTCCTACGAATCCTTCAGTGAAGTCCCCCTTGCTCACTAGTGCTCTGATGTGAACAGTTTTTATGGTGGAAACGGTCAAGGCAAGGAGTGGGCTTACCTGTGAGATCATCATTTGAGCAACACAGTACTTGCTCCTCCCATCCTCTATTTTTGTTTAGTTGAAGTGAAATTCCCATAACAAAATTGAAGGAAATCTTTTATATGAAACTCCAGGAAAATCACTATTAGATGCTTTTTCCCCCCCACTTTTTAATTTAAATACTAGTTAGTTAACAGATAGTGTAATTTTGGTTTCAGGAGTCGTTATTTAGTGATTCATCACTTATCTTAACACAAGTGCCCTCCTTAATAGTCATCACCCTTCTTGCCCATCCCCCTGCTCCAAAATTAACCATTTTAAAGTGAAGTTAAGTGGCACTCGGTATAATCACAAAGTTGGGCAACCCCCACCTCCATCTGGCTCCGCACGTTCTGATCACCCCAAAAGAAAACCCCCTCGGGATTAAGCAGCCGTTCGTCAAATGTGCTTCTTTGTGTCTCCTCTCTGCCACCCTCAGGCCCTGCGACTTGGGCAAGAACTCCGCAGAACCTTCCCCTCAAGAGGACGCGCAGCTGACCAAGCCCGAGATGTTTGAGAACCCGCTTTATGGGTCTGTGAGTTCTTTCCCTAAGCTGCTTCCCAGGAAAGAGCAGGAGTCGCCCAAAATGCTGAGGAAGGAGCCTCTGCCCTGCCCGGACCCAGGAATCTTGTCGCCCAGCATCCTGCTCCCCAAAGCCCAGGAGGCCGAGGGCACCAAGGGGACAGGCAAGCCGGCGCCCACGCCCTTCCTCAGCCCCACGCCCCGGCTCCGCTCCTTCACCTGCTCGTCCTCCGCCGAGGGCCGGCCGGCGGGCGGGGACAAGAGCCAGGGGAAGGCCAAGGGCGCCGCCAGCCTCCAAGCCCAGGTGCCCGCCAAGAGGCCCGTCAAGCCCTCCAGGTCCGAACTGAGCCAGCAGGCCCCGCCCCCGCCCCCTGCGGCGCAGCGGCCGCCCCTCCCGGTCAAGAGCCCCGCCGTCCTGCACCTGCAGCACTCCAAGGGCCGGGACTACCGCGAGAACGCAGAGCTGCCCCACCACGGCAAGCACCGGCCGGAGGACGCGCCGCTCAGCCGGGCGGCCATGCAGGTGCGCTGGGGGCACGTGCGCATGAGCCCCCGCCGGCCCGGCGGGGCGGGGGGGTGGGGGGGGTACGTGCGCATGCACGTGGCACCCCGTTCGCCGTGGGGCTTACACTGGGCGCGTGCGTGCGTGTGATACGACAGCCGAGTCCCGTTCAGATCCCAGGATTTGAACCCACGCCTGTCTGTCCCCGAAGGCCCTGCTCCGACACTGAAAGGGTTAAATGAGGCGCTGGGGATAAACTCCGAGCCCTCCTGTGTCTGCCCTGTAGGAACTCCGGGCTCCGTAAATAAGAGCCCAGATCGTTTACATTGCGTTATCATCATCATCATCAGTGTTAGTACTTAAAATTTTCCCGGTATTTTAGAGACTTCAGACACACTGTCCCCTTCCTTCCTATAAAATAGATTTCTTTTTGAGCAAAACTAATAGTGCTTACGAACGGCCTCTGGAGCCAGACTGTCTTGGGTTTGAATCCCAGCTCTCCCACCTCCTGGCTCTGTGCCTTGAGCCTTAGTTTACTCATCTGTAAAAAGGGGACTATTAATGGAATCTGCCTCATAGGTTTATAGGGAGGATGAAATTTTATTATATATTATTACTATGTTATAACCTACATATAAACTATATGTTCTACATTGTTTATTTCCCATACACTGTAATTACCACATAATGCATATGACCTATGTGCATATATATTGGAATATATGGTAAATACTTAGAACAGCGTGTTGGCTCTTTTCACCACCGTGTTGAAGGAAGCCTGATCTAGCCCACGGCGTGTAGGGACGTTGGCACCTTTAGTTAGATCTGGCCTCGTGGAGAATTCAGCACTGACGGTCTTCTGTTCTTGTCCCACAGTAAAGCCCCTGGTGAGCTGCCACCAAGACAGGAGCCCAGAGGAGCAGTGTGAAGCCACTCGGACCTTCTCCCAGGACCCCCTGCTGGCTCCTCCTACCTAGCTTCCTGCGCAGGGCTTCCTGTTTTTCAGGAGAGCGCCTAGTTTCTGTGTGGTCAGCAGAGTGCTCTGACTGCGAAACTTGGCACCAAGTGCTAAGGGTGGAAGAGAAAGTGTACCTGGGCCCCCAGCTTGATCTTGGTACTTGGGACCCATGAGCCTCGTTCCGGTCATCATTTTGAAGAAAGGAACTAAAGCGCTGATTTGCAGGTGGAGATATAAAATAATAATAATAATATTAATAATAATAATTGCTGCATGTGTGGAGCACTCACCACATGCCGGGTCCTGTGCTAAGTGCTTTACAAACATGAGTTAAGTCTTCTTCAGCTGACCAAAACCACATTCCAGACGCCCAGTTCGGAACATGTGTGCCCTGAGCGGTTTGGACAAAGCATTAAAAATTAAGGCCAGTGCCTTGCTGGAGTGAGACAGGGCTTGGGCTTTAGGGAGCTGAAGAGTGAGTGGATCGCTTAGGATACAACAAACCTGGCTTTGTCTAGCTTCAGTGATGCCAACTGCTTTAGCTAAAGCCCCGGGCTGCAGCAGAGCTGGCCCAGAGAAGGGATCTCTGTCTTCTCAGTTCTTTAGTCGGAAGGAGAAGGAAAATCAGCTCCTACTCCAGGGTAGAGATCCGGCTTCAACTCATGCTAGAGGTGCCCGGGCCCCCCTCGAGGCGGGTAGCCATCACCAGGCCACGGTTGGAGCCGAACCCCCCGACACTTATCTCATTGTGCTCATAGAAGAGTCTCTGCTGTCGCTCCTGAAAGCCAAGCTCCCCTGCCTGGCTGCCAGGGAGGTGAGCCTCTCGGTTCCGGCTCTCAGAATAGTGCAGGCATTTCTCTCTGACCTCCGTGGCTTTTGGCCCTGCTTCCTTGGTTACTAGGAGAGTAGATTGGCGATGTCTTTTCTTGTGTTGCTTTTTGACATACAGAATTAGCATGGGAAACCAAATCCAGAAGTGTGAGTGCAGGAGAATGGGTACGCACCCCACGTCCCCGTGTGTGTCCGTCTGCGTGACCAATAAATTGTGCCTTTCTCACTCAGCTCGCAGCTGTGTGGCAGTTTTTTCCTGACGTTCAGCCGCAGACGACGCTTCTAGGCTGTTGGGGCTGCAGAGCTGCAGGAGGGGAGGAGGGGTTGTTGACTTTCGTGGTGGTGTTGGGCCGACTGGTCCCCTGACCAGAGGGGACTTCGTGGAACCGGTCACAAGTTGGCATAGCCCAGGAACAGCAGTAAATGGCCACCCGGCTTCGTGGACTCCAGGCACCATGCGGCCAGCCAACTTCCGCCGATGTCAGCACCCCCCAACACGCACACGCCACCACCACCACCTGCTGGCCTGCAGCCCCACGTTCCTCCTGGCTTTTCTAAGTGTTCATCGCTAAGCTCCAGAGACAATGAACACATGTTCACACATTGTGGGCCTCCAGCTCCCGGCACTCAGGAGCCACACGTACTGCCCGAAGGCCCGGGAGCGGCCCGCACCCGGAGGGCCAGTGTGCAGGCTGCTTGGCCCCACTTCCAGGGCACTTCGGCCCAGGCTGCTGTTCCCACCAGCTCAGGCAGCTCAGCTTCTGCCCCGCTTCACGGGCACCAGGCCTGCACTGTGGGCAGAGCTTGAGGGACTGGTGTGTTTTGCAGCCACGGAGCAAACCACTCACTGCCCTGCAGCGGTGTGGCTCGTGGACACGCAGGGGTGAGGCTGAAAGCCCACCGTGACCACAGCTCCTCACCGCACTCAGGCGGGCCCCCCTCACCCTGCAGGCGCACTTCCTGCTCCTCACGCAGGAACACCCGAGTCCCCAGGTACCAGCCTTCTGCCTCGCTGGGCCAGGGGCCAGGGGGGAAGGACAGCTGGAGACACCCAGACATCCTCTTGGGCAACCCCCCCCCATAGCCATCACCGCACGGCTGAAGACCTGGGCACGATACCCGGGGCTCCTGGGGAGCCCACTGGCTGCCAGCATGGGGTGGCCTCCTGGGTGCTACTGTAACAGCCCCCACCCAGAATGGACATCCAGACCCTCCCCACCATTTCTGAGGGTTCCCAGGAGAACTGAGTTGAGGACCAGCACTGTGAGGTGCACCTTGGGCTCCACATCATCTTCTGCTCTGAGTTCTAGTGGTCGGAGCAAGTACAGTGTCCCTCAGGGGTTTCCTCCAAGCCCAACCCCGGGCTGTGTGAGCACCAACCGGGCTGTCAGATGATGGGTCACAGCCCCACTGGGATGTCTGGAACTGGAAACTGAAATGTAAGAGCCTTGTCCTCTCAGCTGCTCAGCCCCACACCCCCCTTCCCCCCTCGAGGTCCCTGACCCCCTTCCCCCGGGCTCCGGCCTGCCACCACTCTTGGGGTGAGCTCTCTCTGCTGCGTCTGCCGTGCTTGCAATCCTGCCTCCCAAACAGCCGCCCCCCTCCTACGGGAGGATGACATGGGGACCCAGAAACCCCCACCTCTTTATCACTTAGGTAATTTTCCTCTGCTTTGTGTCAGCTAGTCTTTCCCAGGCTCCCTAAGTGAGAAGGCGGATCGATTAACACGCTTTCCTACAAAAGTCCCCCCCTGGGCGCCTGGGTGGCTCAGTTGGTTAAGCGACTGCCTTCGGCTCAGGTCATGATCCTGGAGTCCCTGGATCGAGTCCCGCATGGGGCTCCCTGCTCAGCAGGGAGCCTGCTTCTGCCTCTGACCCTCCCCCCTCTCATGTGCTCTCTCTCTCTCATCCTCTCTGTCTCAAATAAATAAATAAAAAAATCTTTAAAAAAAAAAAAGTGCCCCCTGCCCCGAAGATGAATTCCGTCGCCCTCTGAGATGGCAGAAGCTGCTGCAGCCCCTTTTTCTAAGTAAATTTTTCCTCCTCTGCATGGTTACATGAACGCTGGTTGAATGCAGCAGATTTGATGCTGATGGGAAGGTGTAATCGCGGTGGATGTTCCCTAAGGGCGGGTCACCCCCAGCACAGGCGGGGGGCCAGGGGGCACCTGCTGTCGCTGCTCCATCCCATTCCCCCAGGGAGGGGGTCAGCCCTGCTGCTCCTCCTTTTTCCTGGGTTTCCGGTTTTCTTGCCGTGCCATTTGTTTCCCCACCTCGATAGGAGGGAACTTAGTGAGTCATTCAGAAAAGCTCTCTCCCACTGCTACCTTCCCTAACCGCAGCCTACAAGTTCTCATCTTCGCTTGTCCTCAAAATAGCTCCTTTCTCCTTGCAAACTAATTTCCATGGAGATCCAGCCATCTGAAGGCCTCGAAGCTTTCTGCAAGGCAGCAGAGAGCAGCTCCCAGCCAGCACTCCAGTGGAAAGAGACCTTTATAATGCAAATGCCTGGTCTCACCCCCACAGACGCCCCCACCCACCGTCCAAGAAGGACATCTCCCACCCAAAAAAGGTCCCATTTTGGGAAATCCGCGCTGTTCCAGAACAGCGCTGGCAGGTTGTTTCCTGTTCTCTGATTAGGTGGCTGGTCTGCGCTGACCGCCTCTCTCAGGTCACTGCAGACCAGTCCCTGGGTGTGCCCAGCTCAGTCCTTCCCTCAGCCACATAGGTGTTGATGGCACGTGCCGGGCCTTGGGGGCCAGCACGCTTATGAAGGTGGACGTCAAGGGGGAGGGGTGGCCTATCCTGGGCTGTGGGGTCAGATGGAATGGAGTTTAAATGTCTTGTCTCTCATTTCCTAAAAGTATAATCTCATACTGGGCACTTAGCTTTTCTGAACATAGGTCTCCTTGTCTCTAAAATGGGGGAGAAGGACGCCTTCTGCGTGGTGGGGTGGTTGAGCAGATTCGTGAGCTCAGCTCGCAGAGACTCAGGGCCTGGTCCAGTGTAGGCTTCCCTGAACATTAGCAGGAGCCTCTCCCTCTCTCTGGAAGGCCAGACAGTGTGGGAGGGCCCTGGGGAGATCACCCTGAGAAAGCTGGAGGGAAAAGGCCCAGGTCGGGATGAGGGAAGGTGCTGAGTTGGGCCTTCTGGGACTGTAGGAATGTCCTGGAAGGTGGTGGGTAAAAAGCTCCCCAGCTGTGGGCAAGAGAATGACTGAACGAGGCCCAGGAACGAGGGGCAGGTGGCGGATGGGAAAGCCTTGCCAACAGGGGCCTGGCTGCAGGCAGCTGGGCTAGATGAAGCCAAGGAAGGGCTAGTTGAGGCCAGGGGGGACTGGTGGAGTCTGGGGGGAGGGGGAACTAGTTGAGGCAGAGGAACTAGTGGAGGCTGGGGGGAATTAGTTGAGGCCAGCGATCCAGCTGGGTTGCTTGAGCTACACGGCCCAGAGCTGCTCAGACTGCCTAAGCCAGTGGAGCAGGCCTCAAGGACAAGAGGAAGTCCTTGTGCCGGCAGCCGGCCGTAGCTCCCAGGGCAGCGCTGGCCAGCCCCCCTTTCCATCTGGGACCTGTCGGCAGTCCCAGTCACCACAGAGCAGCCTGGGCCCCACAGCAGTTCTGGATCGCCCTGTCCAATGTAAGACTCAGCTCCAGCACTTCTGTTTCTTCCCCAGTTGGCTTCTTCCTCCTTCTCTAACCAAGGAAAATGACTCACAGCCCCTGCTTCCTTCTGCAGGCCCCGGGGGTGGGGGAGGGGGCAAGGACTGAAGCAGACAGTGACACGCTCGGGTTTTTAGGCAGGTCAAGAATACAGGGGGGCAAGTGAGGTGCCGGGGAGCAAAGGGTGAGGGGCATTCGCTCTCAGGAGCCCACCTGAACTTGCACCACCTTGAATGTAGTCCCCCCATGCCTCCCTCGCCTCTCCTGGGCCCCAGCCTGCAGAGCAGGTGGTGCAGGGACGGGGGGCAGGTTGTGAGCACTGCCACTAGATGCCAGGAGGAGTGACAGTCAGCCATGCTCCCAACCGTCGCACTGGCAGGGACCCCGGGAAGGAGAGGGAAGGGGTAGCGGCGCAGGCAGGAGAGGCCGTCCTTGGAATTCTGTGGAGTCATGTTTCAGTACGTGACATGTCAATAGAATTTTCCTGTCTCGTTTTGAGCATATCCCCAGACAGGGTTTGTCATGCTTCAGTTATTTTAAAATAGTATTCAGTATGGGTAGTAGCTAAGAGCCCAGACTCTGGAGCCACAGTGCCAAGATGGGCCCAAAATGGGCCAGGCTGTGAGGCCCCCTGAAGAATAAGGTAATGCTCCCAGCTTCGAGAAGAGGCACACACGTGGCTACATTGCCGTCGGGGAACACGTGCGTGAACCACAGGCCCGTGCGATGAATCTCCTTCAGGAGTTAGCTGGGGAGACCTTGTATGACAGCATTTAGAAAGGCCATAACCATGGCGGTGAGGATCTTGGGTTCTGGGGTCAGACCGCTTGGGTTTAGCCCCCAGTCCCTCCCAGCTGACCCACCATATGACCTTGGCTAAGCACTTCACCTGGCATTGCCTCAGTTTCCCCATCTGTAAAAAGAGGAGAATAATGGCATGAGCCTCAGGGGGTGCCTGTGAGGACTGAAAGACCCACAGGGGTATGTAACCTTGGCTATGCACACACCCTCGACAAATGTCCGTAGCAGCCAAGGTGAGGATCTGACAAAAAAACGTAGTTCATGTTTCCATTTCAACCTCCCTTTCTCCCGGGTGACTCCTTCATGCCCGGGTTCTGAGGCCGGGTCCTGGCTCCAGATCTGACAACCTGCACGGCTTTGGCCTGGTCGCTCCCGCGGGCCGCACCCGTGACAGCCGGGGCAGGAGGACAGTGGCCCGTGCCCGTCAGGAGTGGCCGCTCCAGCGCCCGGGGCCCGCGAGGCTCCATCCACAGCAGCCTCTCTCGTTCTCCTCCGGTCCTCCTCCGCTCTCTCCTTCGGCCATGGATGGCGCAGACAAAGCAAGATCAGCCCTGGCCCGAGCAAGCCCCCACTTGCAGGTTACCTCCTGGGGAAACTAACCCAGAAAGAACCAGAAAGAAACACAAAGGCTGCTCACCAGAAGGCAGTTTCTCAGCCTTGACACTATTGACATTTGGGGCCGAGTCATTCTTTGTTGTGGGGCCATCCTGTGCGTTGTAGGATGGTTAGCAGCATCCCTGGCCTCTGCCCACCAGATGCCAGGGCTCCCCGC